CTCATGTTCTTAAATGAATTATAGAGGCGCAACATAAGACTACAGAAGCAACTAACCCGGAGCACAGCAGCATTGGTTACTAGATCATGATGATTAATAATGTCAATGACAGGAAATTTAGCAGCGCCTTCGACAACTTCCTTTCCAATGGAAGACATATTGAAGCCATAAACATTTTCCCAGAACGGAAGACTGGTGCCACCCTTTCCAAATCCAGCAACAAACTAAAATGGAAATATAAGAGGAAACATGCAAAGCAAAGTTAGTCCATGATACTCTGACTATTCAGTTTTCTTCAAGTAACCGTTTCCAATGCATATCCGAACAATATGGTTAAGGAATAAAACCTTCCAAAGATATTCCAGATACAAGAAAAAACACAGATAAAATTGAACATTCCCATGTCAAACATATGCTTGTACCCGATACCAACCGCTGGGTCCAAGTAACAAAGAAGTGTTAATCTATATGGACAAGTGAAATCTATCAAAATACTCACAATAGTTGCTGTATCAGGAAGGATTGCACCTCCAGGCTTCAACCATCGATCTCTTGCAAAAAGAACTGAGCTGAGCATGGACTCATATAGGAGGCAGTATCCCATCCATTCACTTACAATTATGTCGACACTATGAGGTTGAATTTGTATGGATTTATCTAGATTCTCAACCATAGTATGAACCACTTCAATAACACCAGGGCAATTTTTATTTCCTATCAGTTTTACTCCGCCAAAGGCCATTGTCTTTTGCAATCTGCAATTAAGAGAAAAAAAAATAAAAAACAATAAAATATTTGTGTCCTTTGCAGCACTACAAGTTTAAATAAATTCACCTGAGTTGCCACTGTAGCCATCTTCTCACTAGCTTCAATGGAAATTACCCTTGATGCCCCTGCTTGAGCCGCAAAGAGACTGACAAAGGAGAGAAAAACTTGAAAATTGGAAACCTGGCAACATGAGTATGTTTACTATTTCTAAAGACTGAACTAAAGCATTGCCTATTTGGTTAACACTTGATTATTTTCTTTTTTGGCTATTTGTAGCTTTCAGATTTTCACCATCTATTGAAAAAAAGGAAAAAGCATTGAATAATAAACTAGCTATATAAAGGCAGTCAGCAGCAAAACCCTTGTTGGAGGCAATAACTCAAAATAAAACAAAACATGCATGTAATCATGTATACATATATTCAGATAGTAACAAAGACCCAAGCATTCAATCATAGTACGTCATGTACGAATTACAGGGCGGGTGTAGAGAAAGGTCATAGTAGAACATTCTACCCTTGAAGCCGTATGCATGAGCCAGAAATGTCTAACAGAAAGGAATTTTAACAATAAATTTTCACAATGATAACCGATGGATTCTCAAATTATATAAAATGTGAAAATATCTCTAAAACAAAATGGAGGCTAAAAGCTTAAAACATGGTGGAGGATTCAATACTTAAACAATTATAAAAAGCTAAAGTGAAATGGTCCATGACGACGTAAGATATACAGTTTACACATTCGTTTTGAACAAATAAAATGAAAATTTATAGCTAAATAAAACTCAAAAAGAAACTGAAACAAACATGTTACCTTAGTATGCCAGTTCCACAGCCCACGTCCATAACAACTGCACCATTCAGGAGAGAAGGATTTTTCAATAAAGCTTGCCTATAAGCATCTGTTCGTATCTGAAGAACCAAAAGATACGTGCATCAAACCACTACTAACACTTTCATCGAAGTACAGAAGAAAATCTTATACCTTGTCACTTATCATATCTCTATGGATTTCAAATGAACTGTATGATCCAAAGTATCTATCTTTTAATATCCTTTTCTACAACATCCGCGATATAAATTCTCGATTGCTTATCCTTTGGATGGCTTTCTAATGACTTAATACTTTGTCCATAATCCGATCCATTGTCTGTGATTCCCTTTGAAGAATATGCCAAGCTCAAATGACCGATGGAAACCACCATAACAATTTTTCTATCTTTGTTATAGGTCTCGGCATTCAACTCAATATCTTCTACAGTGCCGTCGTCATCAATGCAAACATTACCAAAATACTAAACAATCTCCTCTTTGTCAAATGATGTGTTACAGTCATCATCATCTTCTTCATCTCCACCGAAACTGTAAAGAAGTGAATCGTCTTGCATGAAAGGATTTAAATACTTATCATGAACAAAAAGATGCTTAACATCTTTATCAACAGATTGATGTAAATGACTTTGTAGATCTTGCTTGGACTGGCAGTAGGCTCCGCAACTCCAACATCTATTATCTGCTACCTGTAAATCAAAAGGAATGTAGAAAACAAATAAATAATTAATCCACAGAATATCAGCAAGCTAAAACTCCTTTACTTCACATAAACTCATCAGCACTTTAAAAAAAATGTGAGAGAAGCGGGCAGAAAGGGTCCTTCACTGATAGATGAGGTAGTCCAGTGTCCTGATCAGAAAAACACATATTTGGTTTCCCTCAAACTTCTTTTTCATGATAAAAAAGATAAGGAAACATAGCATTTTTGTTGAACTTAACATCAATGAAACAGGAATACCGGGTTTCATTAGTTTGTAATTGGAAAAAACAATTATTTTCTTTTTATTACTCTCTGACCTTTCAGACAATTAAAAAAGAAATTGGGTTCATACATGCTATCCATCAAATTATAACCAAAACCAGTTTAGCCTCCATTTTCTCTACTTCCCTTGCGTTTCCATCATTTTCTTGGCTGCCAAACAGAATCTGGAACTTAAAAAATCAAGCAGTTCCTTTTCTTTCCCTGATCGTCTTTTGCATCCTAAAAATATAGTTGATTAAACTATAACATAAAGCAAATTCTAACGGAATTATTCATTTTTATCCTCTAAAAGCATTTACATTTTTTCTATTTTTCCCAATAAAAAGAAAATAACAAAAATAACATTTTCAAAACTACTATATCTGAACATTTTTTAATACTGAAGCAGAAAGCAAAAGCAAAATTTAAAAAAAACATAAATGGAGAAAAGGAAGAACAAATTACTGGGATTGGGGTTAGACCTGAGAGCGAACATAATTGATTAGCTTGAATGAACCATAAAAATCCAAATTCAATTCTTTTCTTATTCCATTAAAGTCGAAGAAATGAGTTAAACGACAATGGTCGAACAGGGCATCGCAGGAACCGTAATTGGAATCACAGAACAAGCATATGAACTCTAAATCTTCATCATTTTCATCACCATCTTCTTCATTTTCATCCTCAGTCCAAGCTTCTTTAAAGTCTTCATCATCTTCTTCTTCCTCCTCTTCTACTTGAATTAATCGATTCTTTTATTTTTGGATAATTAGATTATTATTACCCAATGAAAGCAGTAACTGCTTCAAATTCAACACAAACAAACAAGCATAAAACAAGGGTGACAAGATACACAAAAAATCATACTATACCCCAGGAATTACAAAGAGAAAGATTAATAATATCCAATCTATTGACAACCCTATTACTAAGTTGAATTCCTATAGTCTTTTTGATTGAGGCTAGAATATCGTCTTCGGATCTGCAGGTTCCTCGAAAAATCTTTGATTCCTTTCTTCCCATATTGTATAATTGAGAGTGCACCAAGAAAGCTTCAATATACTAGTAAGCAAGGACTTGTCTTTCCATGTGTTATATGCCCAAGTAAGCAGATTAGTGCAGGCAAGAAGAAGTTTATGAATACCTGTGAGCTGAAGAATAGAATTACATATTGAAGCAGTTGTTTTACATTCAACAAAGAGATGGTTTCTGGTTTCCCTTGCTTCGGAACAGAGGATGCACATATCATTAGTTTCAATTCCAAACCGTAGTAGCCTATCATTTGTAGGAAGACGATCCAAGATAACCATCCAAGATATTAAGCTAAACTTGGGAATGTGCAATGAAAACTAAATTAGTTTATGCCATGGGACTTTACTGTTTTTCTTTTGAACCTCTTCCCAAATCAATTTGGTAGTCACAGCTCCAGATGCAAGAATAGGTCGAGCAGCTACTCGGAGTTTCATGATTTTCCTTAGGATCCACCTTGAGTTCTTCGGTTCTTCCATGTGCCAGAAATCATGATCCTTAATGAGATAGTTGAGAATCTAAGCAACCCAAAGGGAACCCTCCCCTGCAAGTAATTTCTTAATGAGTAGAAGCATGCAAGATTTGTTCCTTGACTTGATGTCCTTAAGACCAAGTCCGCCTTCCGACTTTGGGGTGCAAATTTTACCCCAACTAACTCTAGTTCCCACTGCTGAAACGTCAGAACCTTTCCAAAAACATCTCGAACAAATTTGTTCGATTTTGTTAATAATAGATTGTGGCAAGACAAGTTGCCTACAACAGAAGTTTGCCACACTAAAAAGAACTGTTTTGATCAACTCCAATCTGCCAGCGTAACTTAGCTTCTTCCTGGACCATTGATGGAGTTTGACCTTGATTTTGTCTAAGAGAGGATGACAGTCTTTGATCGAAAGCTTCCTTGTGACCAGAGGTATTCCCAGATATCTAACTGGTAGTTTTCCAAGCTTAAAACCAGAAGAATTAATAATAGTGTCAAGAGAGTAAGCTGGAATTCCAGCAGTAAATATTTCACATTTTGCAACATTAAGCTTGAGGCCTGAAATTTCATAGAAGTAGTCAAAAACAGTGATGACTCCCATGACAGATTCCAGATTTCCCTTGCATAAAACTAGGAGATCATCAGCAAAAATAAGGTGGGTGAGATGAATTTTCTTACATTTAGGATGGAAATTGAAGACCCCTTTTACAGCAGCATTGTTGAGTAAATTAGATAAAATATTCATTATCATGACAAATAAGATAGAGGAAAGGGGGTCCCCTTGTCTAAGACCCTTAGCACCCTTAAAATACCCAGTCAAACTTCCATTGAAAGCTATGGAGTAAGTTGCAGTAGAGTAGTAGGCCACTATCCATTCTATAAAAATATTTGGGAATTGAAGAGCCTTTAGAATGCTAGGAATGAATTTCTAGTGAATGGAATCAAAAGCTTTTTGAAGATCAATTTTCAAGGCACGCCTTGGGGAAATTGATTTCCTCCCATAACCCTTCACAATTTCTTGGGCGAGGAGGGTATTGTCTATAATACTCCTTCCTTTAACAAAAGCAGATTGGTTGGAGGAAATAATCTTTGGCAGGAAATGAGTCATCCTAGTAACAATGATCTTTGTGATGGCCTTATAAATTACTGAACAACATGAAATAGGGCGAAAATCAGAGACTTTGTTGGGGTTCAGTATCTTTGGAACCAAGGCAATTGTAGTGGCATTAAAAGCTGGGAAGATATAAGATTCCTTGAAGAAAAAGGTAATAGCTTCAATCACTTCTTTTCCAACCACTGGCCAGGTTTTCTTGAAGAAAAGAGGAGAATATCCATCTGGGCCAGGGGCCTTTTCATTTCCTTGGCTGAAAATGGCCTCCTTGATCTCTTCTGAAGTAACTTCCCTAGTAAGGCCTTCATAATCTTTAGAGAAAAGAATATGATGAATGAGGTCTTTAAGAATTTTGGAGTGACATTCTTTAATATTAGGTTCTTGAGTGCCTAGAAGTTTTTGGAAAAAGTTTACAACTTCTGAGGACATGTCATCAAAAGTTTCCAACCTTCTTCCTTGATCATCCACAATCACTCTAATGGTGTCTTTCTTCCTTTTAGAAGCAATGACTGAGTTGAAAAATCTGGTACATTTTTCACCTTCTTTTAGCCAGTGAATTTTTTCTTTTTGTTTGAGAACCATTGTTTCGGCTTCCTCTAAGGAGGCGAGGTCATTTTGCAGTTCAAGCTCCTTGTCAACTGGCTCAATGCCTGTTAAGGTAAGGATTTGTTGTTTTTCAATTTCTTCTCTCTTTTGTCTAACCCAAGAAAAAATGTCACTGTAGTAGTCATTATTAAGGCGTTTTAGCTTGAGGAATAGTTTCTTCATAGGGTTTTCTTGGATTGGAATGGACCAAGAGTGGCTGACAATATTAATAAAATTTGGGTGCAAGGTCCAACAGTTAAAGAATTTAAATGGCTTTGTTCTATTGGATTGAACCTCTTTGTGAAGAGGCACTGAAGCCATACAATGGTCACAAGGACCAAGGGAAAGAAATTCCACAAAGGAGTGAGGAAAATATTCAGGCCAATGAGGATTGATGAGAACTCTGTCAAGCTTTCGGGAAAGGAAATTTTCTTTTTGTTTGTTACTCCAAGAGTAAGTTAGGCCAAAAAATGGATGGTCAAGGAGGTGAAGATCGTGATAGATTTCCTGGAAATTAATCATTTCCGGGGAAGTGACCATACTTAGCTACTCATGAGCAGTAGATTCTTGAGGATGAAGGATGACATTAAAGTCTCCTCCCAAAATCCAAGGAAGATTACCAAAATCAGAATCAATGTTGCGAAGATCTTGCCAAAGTTTCATTCGCGTGATTCCATCGTTGCACCCATATATTGCAGTAAGTAAGAATGGATTGTTATTGAAGTTGCTTTTAACAGTAATGATCTGAACCGAAGTATGGCATAAAGAAATATTAAGATTTTTCCTCCATAGAAGCCAAATTCTTCCATTAATGGCAAAGTCATAATTGGAATAAATATTCCAATTTTCAAAAGTGGAGGCTAGAATGTCAGTGGATTTGTCTTGCTTAACCCGGGTTTCTAGCAAGCAAAAAATATCTACTTTTGTTGAGTTAATCGATTGATGGAATCGGCCAAGAGGGGGGGTGAATTGGCAATTAAAATTTTGTGGAAGCTCTTGCAGAAAATTGAAAGTAATTGCACAGCGAATTAGAGTGGTTCGACTTTATCAACCAAAGTCTACGTCCACTATCTTAGCTATCCACACTAAGGATTTTCCAACAAATTCACTAATTTGTTCTTTCTTTTGAGGCCAAAGAGATAACCTTACAACTCCCTCAAGAATATACTCCAATTCTTGAGAACACTCTTTTCTCAAAGAGAAGATTATAAATTTGCAAACTTACAAGAAAAACCTCACAAGGCAAATATGTTTGCACAATTCTAGAACAAAGAAAGAACACTCAAGAATAAATACAATTGAGCACAATAAGTGTTCTTGAAAGCAAAATGAATATTGAATGAAAAATAGGCTTGAAATGCTCAAACTTTAGGTTTGATGCTTTCTTTTTAATTCTCTCTTGATTCTAGTTGCTTGATGTTTCTTGTTTTTTATCAATGGCTTCTAAGCTTGCTTAAATACACCTTGAATCACTTCTGAACGTTGGGGATCATTAATGAAGTTATTGGAGCCGTTTAAGTGTGAAAACAATTAATATTTCTGCTTGGAGCGTGGGGGGAATTGGTACCCCTCATGGGGAATCGGTTCCCTAAGTGTAAAATTCAAATATTTTGACTGTTGAACAGGGGGAATCGGCACCCCTGGGGGGGGAATCGGTTCCTTCCGAGCATACTGGAATTCTCGGAGCCAAACCATTCATGGGAGAATCGGTACCCCCTTGGGGGGAATCGGTTCCCTCTGAGCAATCTGGAATTTTTGGCTTTGAAATGGTTCGAAATATTTTGTAAAATCGTTTTGAAATTATTTTAAGATTAAAACTTAATTTTACACTTGAGTAAGGATTTAAAATGAACTTTGAAATACTTTGAGTAATATTTTGATATTCGATTTAATATATCGAATATGCTTAGAAAAATCATTTTCAAAATTAAAATTCTTTTAATTTAATTTGTTATATCGAAACAACAAAATGTTTTCAACAATCTCCCCTTTTTTGATATAACAAAACATTTTAAGTTTTTCTAATTTCAAAATGAATTTTGATTTTGAAAAAAATTACTCCCCCTTACTTTAACACTACTCCTCTTCAAAAACGCTTTTAACATTTCTCCCCATTTTTGTTAAATCAAAAAGACTCATAAAAGATTTTAAACAAGGTTTTGAAATCATTTAGCCAATTGATTATATATAAAAACATAAGCTGCTAAGAACACAATCAAAAGAGAGGTTAGCCATTAGTTTCATAATCAATATTCATAAACATGTAATGGATAATTGGTCATATATGTCTAAAGATGCAAAATAAACACAAAATCCAAATCAAATGTATTAAACATAAGTTCGAACAACCAAAAATAAACAATCCATAAAACATTCAAAATGTTTTAACAATAAGTTCAATCCAAACAAGCAAAGCAAATATCAAAGTTAAAGCATCTGTAGGAGGATCGGGAGGTGGGAAATGAGCTCGCATAGCTGCCATTTCATGAGTGAGTTCATTAATATGAGCGTTGGTTGCTTCATTGTTTGCACGCATCTCCCAGAGAATTTCCAATTGTTGAGCTTCCATAGTCGAGAAGTGAGATTCTATGGAAGTGAAGTGAGAATCCAAGGATGCATAATGGAAATCAAATGTCTCCATAAATGATTGAAAATATGGAGGCCATGATCTTCTTGTTGAGCTTGTTCCTCGGGTTGTTCCGACTCATCGTCGGCTTCGTCAATATCTTGCATTAATTGTTCAAGCTCGAGATTATCGTCAGCTTCTGGTGGGGCTTGAGAAGAGCTAGCTCCCGGAGTATTTTCAGAAGATCAAACCCATTCACCGGTGTCCTTATTCTTTATCCATCCCACTCTCGTTAAGGAAAGAAGATTAATATGTTTCTTGAGAGGAAAGACGACATCTAGACCTACTCTAAGCCCGGCTTTAGAAAATAGATTACTCAGAATGCAACCGTAAACTAGAGATGAACAGAGTTTCTTATTTGGAACTTGGTTTACGGTTTCAACAATTTCAGCAAAAGTAATCTCAGGAAGATTTATTTTAAGATTGTTTTGGAAACAATGTAACCACCAAAAATCTAAAGCACGAAGAGTAGAGTAACGACCTCCGGATGGTCGAAACCACCAAGAAATCATTAGATGAAGAAAACGATCATGAAGATCTAAGACATTCACACTATCCCTTCTTTTATAACGAGAACCTAAAAATTATTTTTCATTTGATATACCATCATTATCTAATCCCAATTCATTAACTATGTAAGCCGAGTCAAGATGGATGAAATGTCCTAGGAGATAAGAAAGAACTGCTATGGTTTTGGTTTGAGCTCGGTTTTTAATACAAACGGCATTATAATAGAATATGCGAACAAGTTGATGGTAAGCTATAGGTTCAAGATCACAAAGTTTATCAAATTTCCACTCTTGCAAAAGAGGAAGATATCTAAAATCGATATCTATCATAGCTTGACGAGAAGGGATACGTTCTTCTCTAATTTTGTAAGAGTCAAAATATTGATAATACCAAAAACGATGATTTCTAGAACCAGAATGATTGAAGCACGAGTTTTGGATAGTCATATTAGGATCAACGGGATTAGGAATAGGAATTTCAGGAATATGAGGAGGATTTGGAGGTGGATTTGGTTGTTGGTTTGAACGACTAGATGATGACCTAGCACGTTTAGGATTGGACATGGTTTAGGAAATCGGAATAGAATGGATAACCTGCAATTTAAAAAACACAAGTATGCAATTCAATCAATCCCAAAACTCAATTGAGTTCTCAATATTTCAAGGTTCTCTTAAACTAATCCTAATGGGCAAAGTTTTCAAAAAACTTATTGAAAAATAAGGTTTTGAAAATCAATATATGTATAGTTTTCATAATAACAACGTAATTTAATCAAAACACAACAATAAATAATTTTTTTTATTTCAAAAATTTCGGAAAAATCTTGTGTTTTTGATGAAATTAGTAGTAAAAATTTAGTTTATAAACACTAATAAGCAATGCCCGATCACTATTTCTATCTAGAACTAATTGAAACTAGTCATATGTTCAAAATCAATGAAATAGAGAGTTTAGAAAAATTTACCTTGAAAGATGAGATTGAGTGGATTTTGATGTTGTTTACACGATTTTAATGATGCTAGCAGGTTTAGAATATGATATTTGAAGTAATTCCGATAATAAACGTTGATTTGAGGCGAAAATGAGATAGGGAGAGAGTAGAGAGAGGAATGACGGCAAGAGAAGAGGGTTTTAACATTTTTGGGTGTTCTGCCCGGTTAAAAACCAGAACCCCAGGGGGGTATCGATTCCCCTAGGGGGAATCGATTCCCATTCAAAGGGGGAATCGGTTCCCCTTCAAGGGGGTATCGATTCCCTCTGCCCTATAATTAAAAAAATATGTATTTTAAACACTCAAAATGCTAAATTACTCTTTTCTAGTGGTATTGGCAACTCATATATCAAAAATTAATTATGTTCAATCAATCAATTAATCCTTAAACTACATTTGAACATAAAGTTAATTTTTCATCAAGAATCATAAACTCCCCCTAACTAATAGCAATGAATGTAATCAAAAATTACTATTATAGGCATTTTTCATTTAGTCTTAAAAGTGCTAAAATTATTTTAAACACTAAGTGAAGATAGGTCAGTTAAACCTAATTCTCTCCTAAGTGTCCAAAAACGTTCATTGTCTAAAGGTTTTGTAAAGATATCCGCTAATTGATGCAAAGTATCAACAAATTCTAGAACTACATCTTCCTTAGTGACATGGTCTCTAATGAAGTGATGTCTTATTTCAATGTGCTTAGTTCTAGAGTGTTGGATGGGATTTTTAGTGAGACAAATAGCACTAGTATTGTCACACTTGATAGGAATGGTACCTACTTCAATTCCATAATCAAAAATTTATTTCATCCATAAAACTTGTGCACAACAACTACCGGCTGAAATGTATTCGGCTTCAGTGGTAGATAATGCAACACAATTTTGTTTCTTTGAAAACCAAGAAATCAACATATTTCCAAGGAATTGGCAAGTACCAGAGGTGCTTTTCCTATCTAATTTGCATCCTCCATAATCCGTATCAGAAAAGGCATGCAAGCTAAAGCTAGAGTCTCTAGGATACCAAAGTCCTAAACTATGAGTGTCCTTAAGGTATCTAAAGATTCTCTTAATAGCTAGTAAATGTGATTCCTTAGGACATGATTGAAATCTAGCACATAAGCTAACACTAAACATAATGTCTGGTCTACTTGCAGTTAGATAGAGCAAAGAACCAATCATTGACCTATATAATTTAACATCCACACATTTACCTCCTTCATCCAAGTCAAGCTTTGTAGAAAAGCTCATTGGTGTGTCATGAGGTTTCCCATTTTCCAGTCCAAACTTATTGAGCATATCTTTGACGTACTTAGCTTGATTGATGAAGATGCCATCTTTTCTTTGCTTGATTTGGAGTCCCAAGAAAAATGAGAGCTCCCCCATCATGCTCATTTCGAATTCGCTTTGTATTAGC